GAGACAGTGCAATGGGTGACCACAAAACCCCATTTTTAAAAACAGAACATACCAATTTATTCAATACAAGGCATGTCAGGGATGGGCAGCTATCCCCTTCTGCTTTACCCATGTAGTCCATGGGTGCATTTGGTCCAGGACAGGCAATTCTATCTTGAAGATAAACCTACAATAAATCTTGTGGAACACCACATCTCTTCAGTGTGTATTGTGTGGCCATGAAATTATAATATGCAAGTCAACATGGCTTGACTGTGTGGATTTGAACAATTAAAGAATACTGGTCAGGTACAACTCACTACAGATCAGGATCCGAACAATGAGCATTAATAAATGGGAAAAGGGCCCCTGAAAAGGAAAAATAATAAGAAAAAAATTACCCAGTCATAGTCTCACCAAATTCTAATATTCTAGAATGGCTACAGTTGGAAGACGATAACCCGAAGAGGAAGAAAACTGCGTTCTGATGCAAATAGTGAGAGAAGAACGTATCATGGGTAGTCCACATGCTCGATTTAAGAGGTAAATACAAAGGACAACAAGGATGAAACACCAATGAAATGGTAGAGTGTAGAATTGGGTGAGAAAACACCCAGAACAAAGTACGGGAGAAAGACAATAAAGAGAAAGAAGCCAATTGAATGAAGAGTCAAACCCAACTGGTGAAGGAGGAATAACATAAACCAAGGATAGTTACCATGGGAGAAAGAGGTGGGAAAGGACAACACAGAAGAAAGCAGACAATATAACAGAGAAGAGAACATACAAGACATACAAGTCTATCCAGATCAGGATGAGGATAAAGGTGTGAAATGGAATGAAGGGAAAGCAGCTAATCAGAGGAGTTATCCTCATGAGCTACCAAAGTATTAGGGAGGAAAAACGATCCAGACAATGGACAAGATATGTAGAAGTATAAAGAATACATGAAACATCGCTGGTAAATAAACAGACCACTGACATCCTCAGGCAAATAGGAGAAAGTAGGAAAACATAAGGGAATAAGAAACAAGGAGCACTGGGAGAGTGGTTCGAACATAGGCAAAGTGAGGCAGTGCAGGACCACATTAATATCCCCATCCAGAAGGGCAGCCCACCAAATACAGAAGCAACAGATCCACAGCCAAAAAAGTGGCTAACCAATGACCAGAGGAAAACCAGGCGTGAAGACGGAGGACAGGAAGATCTGGATGAAACACTGGTGACTGAGGGTGGCAAAGAGTGGATAGAGACAGAAGAAAAAGTAATGAAGAAGGAAGTTGAAGCTGGAGAAGCTGGAGAAACAAAAGCTCAGACAGCCAGAAAAGAGATATCAAAAGGTCTAAATATGTAGTGTCACGGATTAATGAAATCACCTGGAGAAGATAGAGAATGGGAGGATAGCAAACAAGTAGGTCCAATCCTGGCTGAATACATCAATAGCCAGAGCAGGAAGACAAGGAACCGAAAACCATAACCAAGTTAATTTGTGGTTAAGGGACATAGCAAAAGCCTCAATGTAAGGAGTAACCCACTGAAATCAAAACCACTGGAAAACAAAAGGATCCAGAGACCACTCCATCTGATAAATGTTGTCTGGACAGGAATCTAATCCATGACAAAAGAGTAAGCACCCTGAACATGACGTGCTATGTTAGGAATATCAAGCAAGTGCCCCTCCCCCCCCCAAAAAAAAACTATCCAACATATGAATACAGGGGGATGGAGAATGGGTGATTTCTGGCCAGATGGAGAAATTGAACCAAAACATGACGTACAGTGAGAAGCTCCAGGACATTAATGAGATAACGCCTTTCAGCAACAGACCAAAAACCATGAATATTCCAGTTGATCAACCCATGCCCCCATCCACAAAGGGATGTATCCATGAGGAGGAAGTGGGACACCCATCGATGTATGAGTGATATCTAACCACCAATGCCAATTGACAACAAGGGCAATAAGAGCTGACAGAGAATCCCTGCAAAATTCCACTGGTTATAAAAAGGCCACAAAAGAGCTCATATAAGAGTCTGACCCAAGGGGATAAGACCTAAGACCTTTCAGCCGCAGACCAAAAACCACGAATCTTCCAGTTGATGAACCCATGCCCCTATCCCTGAAAGGGATGTATCTATGAGGAGGAAATGGAACACCCGTCGATGTAGGAGTCTCATATAACCACCAATGCCAATCGATGAAAAGGGCAATAAGAGCTGACAAAGGATCCCTGCAAAATTCCACTGGTCTTGAAAAGCCCATGAAAGAGCCTGACCAAAAGGGATAATGGCTACCATGGACGATCACATCCCCAAAAGTGACAGAACTTTGCAAGCTGTAATCAAACTGAAAACCCATCAAAGAAAGTTGAAGAAGAGAAGGGCAGGCCCAACTGAGATGTGTGTGGAAAAAGAAAAATACCCAAATGGACAAGATATTTGATAGGTCGTTAATTTGATATTTGATTAACAGCCCATTATATCCGCATCCAGGAGCAGCTGATAAGGGTAACAGGCAGACTCCTGTTCGGAATGCGCAAACAGTAGCCAGTTGACCCAAGAAATAAGCATAACCTGAGAGCATATAGGTGGCAAACAAATGCTCTGAATACCCAACAAAACATACAAGGCTGAAACAAGTCAAAGGGTAATGTGCAAGACAGAGAAACCACCCCATGGACAATAAATCAAAGAGAGGGTCACAAGTGATGAAATACTGGGATATGAAAATAATCATTTGAGACATTCTTCTTTGTCATTGATAAACCTGGAAAAAAAAGCCCACCTAATGGTGAGAAACGACTTCAAGGTGAAAAGGGGCAAATTGATAATTAGAATGAGGTGGGACAAACCTAGTACAAGCTAACACTCTCCAATTTGGCACAAGGACAACAAACAGCCTAGAGAAAGATGATGAACAGGTGCAATTGCCTGTAGAGACAGAAAATCTTGTAGCATCTTGGACAGGTGCAACTTAGTGGCAGGATTCCAAGTCATGGTGAAGGAAAAGGGTACCAGGGATAAAGGAGCTGGGGTAAGAAATAGTAGGACAAGTCCCTCTGATAAAACCCAAAGAATCTATGGAACTGTAGTGAAGGATCACCAAATGGTAACAATATAATATAGACAAGCTCCCACTAAACCGGAACCCTCAGGTTAGTCTTTGGTAGTGTTGGTGACATGCCTATCAACAATGAATAAAAGAATGAGATGAGAAACTCCTGGAAGGGGGACAGCAGGGATGGGTAGTTGAGGGCCAGGGCAGGAAAGGAATAGGGGCATATCATGGCTCCAACTGCAAAAAACATGCAACCAAAGAGGAAATGGTCGAGTTCTGACACGCAGATAGCATACAAGATTCTAAAATCTCAGATACATGATCGAAAACATATCACCAAAGAAAATATAGAAATCCCGAAAAGAAAGAGGCAAAAAATTTATCTGGAACAAGGTCGCATCAAGGCCCAGAATATCCTAACTACAGTGATACCATGTGTGTTAAGGGAGAGCTGAAGATGACATGGAGATAATAAGGAATAATAGAAAAACAGGGAATTGGATAAAACATAACACACCTGAGAAATCATGTTGAAAAATGCCATATTAGGCCTAGCTGATTCTGCAGGAGCGGTAGGGAAAAACACCCCACAAAAGCTAGTGATGTAAAAAGGCTATCAAATCTTCATTGGCCCAAACAGGTCAGGCATGTTCAGGAGGATTAGTGGAGCAAGTTCAGGAGAAGAAGGTTGACTCATATAATGAACAATCTCACAATGAATAATAACAGAGAAATTCAATGACGGGTCTCCTCCACCTGCAGTCTGTGAAAATAGTGCTAAAGGTATAACACCCAAAGCAAGAACATGAAACTCAGAATTCATTGTAGAAATATGTAAGTCAAACAAAAGTGTTTGATGTAAAATGTACGAGTGCTAGAGAAAAAAAAATTGGGAAATTAAGTTAAATTAAAGGATTCCTTCAATGTAAAGAAAAAAATTAATAATGAAGGAATCCCACTTTGGAAATTAAACTATTAAAATCACAATTCACACGAAGAGCACCAAAATAAAAAAGTCTGAACACAAGTACTGCCAAATGAGAAGTGATAGTTTGGTAGAATTGAACAGAGGGAGTCACATGAGTCATGAGAGTATATTGTACTCTTATTGGCGGAGGGTTGACACATGATGATTTGCATAAAAGACACATTTGAATCAGTCAATTCCAAAGGAGGGGAGATAGAAGGCTTGTGGTATGCATAAAAAATTCTATTGCATACAGAAGTCAGCACTTAACAAGAATAGCTATTTATGAGAAAAGAGGTAATGTACTGTATCAGAAAACAATTTAACTTGAAATTCTAAAAATAAATATAATTTCAACTGCACTTATTGCTATCCATCTAAACTGATTTTGAAAGAGATCTGTGCATGTAAGCAGAACATAGTGAAAGACAATAACTGTTTCCAAATAATCTTCTTTAATGAAGTGGTCATTGTAAAAAGCATAAATGTTTATTGTACAAGATCTTGCTAGAAACAAATGGTATTAAATGAATGAAATTTTTTATGTACTGATTTGATTAACAAATTAAATCATTAAACAAAATAATTTATTATAAAAGCAGATTAAACAAGCACAAATTAATACTGAGGAATTATTTGATTAAGTGCTTATTTGATTGGAACTCTAATTATATTTCAAAGACAAGCCATTTATATCAGTGAACTTCCACACAAATGTTACTATTTATCTAATTCCAAGTTAAAATGAATCTAAACAACATTCAAGGAAACAGTACTATACAAAACAATGTTCAGTTTGAACAGTAAGGAAGCCTTAAAAAGTTTCTTTGAAAATGTGTTTTTCATTCAGAGATATTAATGTAAAAAATAACAACAGATTACTTACCACTAAGGGCTAAATCATTACATTGCTGACAAGCCATACTAAGGAAAAAACATTTTGATCACTGTTGGAATCAATCATACATTAAGTAAGCAAAGTGGGTATGTACACACATTATAAAATGTAAGTATATTACAATGGAAGGTACATACAGTCACACAAACAATTAATATACTTAATAAACAGCTTATATTCAAAGCACTTTCAGATGATAAAGTAGACTATCCTTCATTTGAAATGAACTGGGAAGTGAAAGCAATGTGAGAAAACTGTACCAAGTGATTTTCAATGACAAAATAAGAAATATATTTTCTATATGACTCACAGTAGTAATATATAAAATTTACACAGTGAAGGAATAAAATTCTTCTAGTAATCATCTACCACCCAAACTTAATGTCTCACACATTTATCAAACACATTTGTATTTACTTCAACTTAATGACAGTTTAAAAGACATTTTCCCAAAAAGTGTCACTGATTCCTTCCCAAAATAAAAATTCGTGAATATGATAAGTCATATAAAGGTTAGTTATACTCCACTACAGAATAGTGAGTACCTTAGTATTACAATGTTCCTATACTTGCAATTTAATGAAAATGGCAACACATTAAAAACACAGAATAAAAATCAACAAATAAATAAAACACAACACTCATATATACCATACATATTTGGACAACTTCTGAATAGTGTTTGCTTGTTCAACCACTAACTCAAAGGCTACCAAATATCAGGTAAAAGAAGTAGCTGGTTAGACATGCTGTCTCAAAAACTCCCCATTATAAAGTCCTACTACAGAAGATGTAGATGAATCATTCATCCCATTCAAAGACTCAAATGAATAAGAGAAGACTCAAACTCAATAACCTTTCATTAATGTGATGCCTAACAAGTAATTAGCCAAACAAAAGTTGCAATCAACCTAATCAGGACTCTATTTGAAAACCTAGATGACTTAAATACTAATATGGTTGAAGAGGAGATTTTGATTTCTTCATTAATAAATATCTCAGTGAAGTCATAATACTAAGCAGCTACTGAGTGTGCTGTCATGTATGACTCTGGGATGGAGCCAAAACAATTTAATATACAAATACTGGAATTCATAATTTCAGAATGGAGTCAGAACCATCCAACTGTCTCAATAATGTTGATAAGATGCCAAGATGATGGTTAAATTCAAGTTTCTAGACTAAAAAAAGCCTGGAAAAAAATACATGTATGTATATATATATAACTTAAGAACAAAAAAGGACCTATTGGGCCATCTACCCCATCCCATCCACTAAACTAAGTTTCAAACACAAAACACCCAAAGACAGACCTTATCATTTAAATACTTATCAAGCTTCCCCTTACATTCTCTGAAATTAACTGTATCCCCCACATCTGAAGGTAACCCATTCTAAAGGACAACCACTCTGCCAGAAAAATAAAACTCTTAGCTGAAGATGGCTCCTACTCTGCAGATATTGATATCTGTGTCCCCTAGTCCTAAATATGAAAAAAAGATGATGCATCATCACTGTCAAACATCATAACAATTTTAAATGCCTTAAACAGGTCCCCCTAACTCTTTTTTTAGTTAAGAGAATGCAATTTCAATGATCTTAACCTATCCAGGTATAAAAACCTTTTCATCTCAAGAATCCCACTAGCAACCCTTCTCTGAACTCTTTCCAAAACTTGAATATCCTATTTAAGATAAGAAGCCCAAGACAAAACACAATACTCCAAAAGTGGCCTGACTTTATCATATTTCATTTGCCTAATTTATAACCTCATAAATAAATATCAAACGTTTTTCTTCTCTAAAACTATATATTTTATCTACCCTAGCTCTAGTAGCATTTGGTCAATTCTACTGAACCCATAACTACCATAAAAAAATCTAAATAAAATGAGTAGTACTGTTATATCCTTTTTAGTATTGACCATGAAGTACTTCTCCTGATAGTTTCTACTTCTGACCTTTTCACATATATTTCCTATGTTTATTTCACTGTTAGCAGCTGAAGTAGAAACCTGCCAAACATAAAGCAATGAATCACTGCTCCTGCCATTAGATTGTTTATGTGACACTGTTGAGAGCAGAAAAGCATGTGCAGTGCAATAAGATGAGATTCACACAGAATTTATCGTAACCCCAGCTCCAAGAACACAGTGGGTGAGTATTTATCAGCTTGTTTACAGAATAGTGGTTGAGACGAGAATTGTCTGAAGTAAAAAAAGTGCAAAAAAAATGCTTGTGCTATGGCTCTGCACAAAGTCCAGGCAAATCCAATAAACTTGGTAAGTATGTGAATGTTCGTTATCCTCCAGGCATGATTTAAATTTAGCAGTATAGGTGTAAAATGTGGGTAAGAGCTTATGAACATGTATATATATATTATATTACTGAATACTCAAAAATACTTAAATTTTAGTTGTTTTTTTAAAACATAGAACAATAAATAAAAAATATATAGGAAAAGAAATATTTCTAGTATTTACAATGTTACAAAATAAACTTGCACTCGCTCATCATAGTTGCTAAGTTTTGTCATAAGCCTCATTTTTCTCTCAAGTGGAGGGGGGAAGACAAATAATTTTTTGTAGATTTCAAAGATGCATTTTAGAAAACCAAACAATTATCAAATTACTATACATAAAATCACTGTAATTTATCTGGCTTTCTAGCAAAGCTACATGTGGTTAAAAAAATCTCGTTTCTGTTCAGAGCAACAACTTAGACAATAGACTTCAACAGTTACAGTAAAATTACATCTTTCCCCTTCAAGCTGATTATAAATGGCTGTCAGATTTATGTAGTTTGGAATATGCTCTTTCTATTGGTTATAAACATGTACTTAAGAGAAGTAGATATGAGTAGACAAGAAGTTTCAAAAGAATGGAGTGATGGGAGGGACTAAATACATTTATATTTCAGCAAATCAAAAAGACAAGAGCTTCTAGCTTTTTGGTGTCTGAAATCTGAGTTTATAATACTATAGAAATTGTATAGTAGGCATAATACAATATAAAATGATCAATATACAAGAGTACATTCCATCTAACACATAAAAAAGGATATTTATCATTTCATTTTAAAAATTTTCTTTAAAAGTAATAAATATTTTCATATTAAAATTTGAATTATAAGCTACATTTTGATACTAATGTTATTTTCATCCATTATAATGAAGTTGTTTAATTAAATTTTGAAAATAACTAAATTGCCATGACATGTGCCTACAAGGGGACGTGCCACACTGTCTAACTAAGAGAGTGAGGCTACACCAATATTTCATGTACACAACACCTGTTGAGGACATACAAAACTAGACTCGGTTGACTCTAGCCACATAGAACTAACTGAACCACTAAACAACCAGGATCCTCTCCTCCACTTCACAGATTGCCATGCACAGCAAAAACAGATAGAATCTTCCCTGGGAAGTTCCCCTTACTACATACAGGAATTCACGTTGAGGTGGGTGCTACTAGCCATTTGCCTTTTCTCTAAGTTAAAAGTTCAAAAACAGTAAAGTAAAAGATAACCTCAGAAGCTTTGCACTAATAAACACAGGGCAAGTAAGTTCAGTGGCAATGGAAATTGTACCAGAGATCCTCAAATCACAATGCACCCACCATTATGTAGCTTTGTGCCTAACATACATATTACTTGGATAGTTGGAATAATCAAAAACAGTAAATAATCTGTAACCCTAATTTTGACCATTTGGATATTTCATTACATTAATCAATTAACTGTTTAAAAGACACTAATTAATGTAATAACTACTTACAGGTTATTAATTACATTGACTAATGAATCAAACTGCCCTGTTATGTATAAAGGAAAGCTTGTCCTTTTATACGATACAAATAAATGATGCCAGGCTACTCACATCTCACTCAAGGCCACTCTTGTTTCAGCAAAGGGGTGGCGTGGCCTTGAGCCATTACCAGTATTACATCTCCGTTTGTTAATTGATTTCCCGTAAATTCATTCTGACGAAACTTTAGCGGCACAAGTCCTTACTTAATAAAACTGGTTTATTCTTTCCGAATATAATTTTACGATACACTTAATTTCAACAATCGCGCTAAAACAAACGCTATAACAACGAACGTGCTCAACTTCAATAATACTCTCTGACTGCAGATCAATTACTCAATGTCTACACACACATTGTTCTGTCACGTTGTCACCCTCTTATATATATACCAGACTACCCTCAATCTAGTAATCTCCTGAAGGTTCGAGAAAGAAGTGGCGTGACATTAGTCACGTGACCTCGCTGATGCAACACCAGATTCACCAACAAATAAGAGCACTACCTATTTTGGAATAGCACAAGTGAAGTTACATCTATATTTTCTGCAAGAAATAATGTTTAATAACCAGAGTAATCTTGGTTTCATGCACAGCTAGAACAAGGAAAACTTAAGTTGATCCTCCATCTTCACAAGTATTTGCCTATATCTACTGGACAAGTGCAAAGTACCGATACAGGTTGCCCCTGACAAATCAAAATATCCCTTACATGAGGTAATGGATAGCGTTCCGATTCTGAGACTTGATTTAACTTCCAGTAGTCCACATAAAACCTAAAATCATTAGTCTTCTTCTTGACAATAACTACTGGAGAAGCACAAAAAGAAGTGGAGGGTTCAATTAACCACTCACAAAGCATTTCATCCACTTGATCATGTAGCACTTGTAATTTAGTAGAAGAATAATGATAAGGCCTACTAAACACTCACTTTTTTTCCATGATTACAATAGTATGTTCAGAAAAATCTGTGAGGTAAGGTTTACTGTTAAAAAATATTAGCACATTTCAACACAAGTTGGTTTAATTGTTCACAATCTTTACTTTTTAATTGTGAACATTGTACTTCTTCATTCAGTATCTTTTCAGTCTCAAAATCATGCCTAACAAACAGCTGGGTACAAATTAGTCAATGTTTCTTCAATTCTCGCCAGTGTTCAAAAGCCATTTCTGATCCGAAAGCCTTACACTATTGTAGTGGCCCTC